TTAAAATCACTTCCAATGACTTTATAAGTGAAGTTCAACTTCGAACTTTCGTGAAAGGCTGCAGTTATTTCATTTAGCGGTTCACTGTCGTGATCGGGTGTGCGAATGATGCAACCTAACAGCATAGTTTGCTGTTTTTTATGTAGAGTGTCGCTCACAACGTATCGCGTGTATTCAGGTTGGGGTCATCGTAGCGTACAACTCTGCAATTAGATTTAATACAGACAATGCATCACTCATCCAGCCCAACTGATCTGGCCTTTCTGAAAATCAGTGAAAGAAATCATCATTTAATCTGCTTGTGCACCAAGCTTCGGTAATCGCCAGTGTTGTTGGTTTGCTTAAAAGTAGTAAGGATTGGTTTTATGTCAACTTGTTTACGGCTGACCTGACACTTATAGGAACTATTTTAGGATTAGTAGGGTCATAACTTAAGATTTTACCCGTGTCCTGCAGTAGCTAGTGGTGAGATTAGCAGTTCATACGGATGAAAATATAAAATTAGAGTGTAAAGATACTCTAAAAATACTATCAATGCAAAGATGCGATAACAGAAGTGTTTAAGTAGACACTAACTATAACGGATAATTCTAGCCCGAAAAGTTATATTATATGCAAGAACAGGACTCAATATTTGATACTTCCAGTGAGAAACCTATTAAAAAGTCCCCTACAGAGTAAAAGGGAACTGAGGAATAACCCGCAAAAATTAGCGAAACCTCTGAATTGTCACTACTCAGAGGAACTGTTGACTCAGTTTCCTGCACGTAAGTGGGGTTGACTAAAGCGCTCCATGTATGACAAATTTGACCGAAGTAAGAGGCGGCCTTCAAGTCACCGCTAAATTTCTATGTGTTTACAATGTCATTTGCACGCTATCTCAAATGAATATGAACCACATTTTAGGGTACTGGGCAACATCAGTGTTAGCTCTCAGTAATAGCAAAATTATTTTCCCATTCCGTAATGATAGTTTGCAATCTCACAAATATGTCAGTCACAATTTTGTTACGAATCATCATAAGCTGGTTATGTTTAGTTTCCATGACACACTTCATATACAAAGTTAACATTTAGTCTGAGTAATTACGCACGGACACTTCGTGTTTATAGATTAGAAGTGCCTGATGTTCCTTTGAGTTCATGGTGCTGACGTCACTTGTGACTATCATGCCACATTGATGTCAGAGTTATGTAGTGGCACTAAAAGTTGTTTCTACTGAGTGAATTCAGTTAAACTTGTTATTCGTGCGCCTAGCTCTAAATGCTAAAGATTTTTTACCGCTTGGTTGTAGATGTACTAAATCTGGTGACGCGGGAACGTACCTTGTTGTGTTAAAATAGTGCGAATACCCTAGCAGAAGCTCGCAGGCAACAATCAAACGTTCATCATGCTAGTATTTAGGTTCTATTCACGAACATGTTAATTCCGAAACACAAGGGAAATATGACATCAGAATACCGTCTTTCCTCAAAAGTCAGCTGATATGTATCCACATATATATATTTATGTGTGTGTGTGCATGTTCGTCTCTCTTTCTGTTTGCTCGGTTAGTCTGTGACCACTTCACTTGTATGAACTTGTCTCCTTTAATAATGTGTATTCTCCTTATATTATATTATATGTAATATGAGTGTTTGTTGACAGTCCGTTGCTTGGTGACATATATCCATATATGTTTGTTGGCATGTCTGCTATATTCGCTATGTATAATTGGATCGACACTCCATTATAATTAGCCATTCATGTTAAGACTGTCTAATGATTTTTCCCACGCTTGTCTGAATTATTTATATATATTCGCATTCACAATTTGTGTGAACTACTTTACTTTACAACTACTTTACTTACTTACCACTTTGGTGTGAGACCATTTATTTTCGTCTCCTTGTGTTTGGACAATAGAAGTATCATCGCAAACCTAGTGGTCTTCTGATTTCCGCCTTCTCGCGTCAGGACTATTAGTTTCTCGACCAGTCCATAACAATAATTCAGCGACGAGTACATAACAATTTGGCGACGGGGAAAACTACTATTAACCACTCAGCAGCAGCAACATAACAATTTACTATGGATCCTATTAAATTGGAATTATTGTTTGAACGACAAATGAAATTAATGGAAATGTTCGTCAACCAACAGACTGGTCCAGCTTCACCTTCAAGCAATCCCAATCATACCATGCTACCATCTGTCGACGGCATTGTGAACAGTATTTCACAGTTCAATTATGACCCAGAGGCTAATGTCACTTTTGACACATGGTATCAACGTTATGAGGATTTATTCACTGTTGATCTCGCCTCACAAGACGATGCCTGGAAGGTGCGAGTTTTGCTACGTAAATTGGGTCCGGCAGAATATGAACGGTACTGCAACCTAATTTTACCACAGAAACCACGTGACAATTGTTTCGATGATACAATAAAGTTGCTGCGTGAACATTTCGGAGACCACTCCTCATTATTCAGTATACGTTATCGTTGCCTCAAGCTGGCAATGAATGAAAATGATGATTTTCTTACTCACGTTGGCACAGTCAACCGAGAATGTGAGAGATTTCGACTCAGGTCCTTAACAGATGATCAGTTCAAAGCCTTGATTCTCATATGCAGTCTCCAATCTCCTCGTTTCACAGATATCCGAACTCGACTGCTCAATCAGCTAGAACAAAATCCCAAGTTAACATTACATGACATAGCTGATGAATATCAACGGCTGATTAATCTGCAGAAAGACACACACCTGGTCGAATCAACACCTCCGAGAAGCTCTGATATTCGTGCATTACGCAAGAGCAAAAATCTCTCATCATCTACTCCTGACCCACCTACTTCTCTTAATGTTCCGCGGAAATCTACACATACTCGTCCAACTTCACAAAATACGACAAAGAAGACCCCTCCATCACCATGCTGGCATTGTGGCGCGTGGCACTTTGTAAAGTCTTGTCCATACAAAAATCATCGTTGCAGCAAGTGCAAGATCATCGGTCACAAAAATGGTTTTTGTCAGCCACGCAAACCCAGATATCATAATCCAGCAAAAGCTCAACAAAATGTTGGTCCTAAATCCCCCAAAAAGTCATTGAGTCTACGCGCAACCCGTCAAGTCACAACACCAGCTATGCGGAAATATCTTGATCTTCAGATGAATGGTCATGATGCACGTCTGCAGCTAGATACCGCCTCTGATATTACTGTTATATCAGAGAAACTTTGGAATTATATTGGCAGACCACCTATCACCAATACTTCCCAGTCTCTTGTCAGCGCCTGTGGTGGGCGGCTCAAACTAATTGGTGAACTCAAATGTTCTGTTTCCTTCCGCAATACCAAATTCACAGGAATTTGTTACGTCACGAAGAATGATTTAAATGTTTTGGGACTTGATTGGTTCGATCGTTTGCATCTGGCTGATGTCCCACTAAATTCTCTACGCAATACAGTCAAGAAGCATAAAATGCTAGACAATTCCGGACGGAGCCGAAGCCGCAAACCCAACAATCAGACGAAACGACAGGCGTCAACAACAAGCCCAAAGGTCCCAGATAAACCCCCAGGTAAACATCCTACTAATCATCCATCTTCTCAAAAGGGGAGGTGATATGTATCCACATATATATATTTATGTGTGTGTGTGCATGTTGGTCTCTCTTTCTGTTTGCTCGGTTAGTCTGTGACCACTTCACTTGTATGAACTTGTCTCCTTTAATAATGTGTATTCTCCTTATATTATATTATATATAATATGAGTGTTTGTTGACAGTCCGTTGCTTGGTGACATATATCCATATATGTTTGTTGGCATGTCTGCTATATTCGCTATGTATAATTGGATCGACACTCCATTATAATTAGCCATTCATGTTAAGACTGTCTAATGATTTTTCCCACGCTTGTCTGAATTATTTATATATATTCGCATTCACAATTTGTGTGAACTACTTTACTTTACAACTACTTTACTTACTTACCACTTTGGTGTGAGACCATTTATTTTCGTCTCCTTGTGTTTGGACAATAGAAGTATCATCGCAAACCTAGTGGTCTTCTGATTTCCGCCTTCTCGCGTCAGGACTATTAATTTCTCGACCAGACCATAACAATAATTCAGCGACGAGTACATAACATAAGCAGACATTTTCTTAAGTCTCTCAGGTTTTTCCATAGATTTGATGGTTTATCTTTTTCATCGCAATGAGACTTATGACACAGTTTAATAGGGAATATGAGGCTATTACGCAGAGCAGTCTGAAAATGCACTGTCAACCTGGAAGAAGAAAGGTAGAAGTAAAGTCATAAATAAATAGTAAAATGATGGGTATCCGTGTCTTGTTTCACTGGGAGATGAACTCTATCATAATCCACACTAAATATGCGAGTTATTTAACCACTGCCTTACAAAGCATTCTGCTAAAGACGACAAAGGAATGGCAGTAGTTTGGTGCCGACAGACCGACTTATAATTGTGCAGTTATACAAATAATCCTCCGGGATAGCGGCAGATAACTTAAAATTCAGAAGTTGTCATCTATAAAACTCAAGTATAAAACGAAACGAAAAGTTCACCTGAAACAATAATCATTGCAGCCAATATGCTCAGAGTGCACTGCAGCCGGATTGCATGACGTGGACACCAACGCAGCATGTCAAGAAATGAGAATTCCTTTCAGTCCAGAAAACACAGAGCACAATTTCATCAAAAATTATTGACAAAAAATTTCCTGAGTGAAATTTTAACCAACATGCCGGTTAAGTCCGGCCCGTAATACTGATTGGCATTACAGAGGGTGCTAAGTAGAAGAGGGAAAGTTCAAAAAGTGCTCCGTTCATCACTTACAAAAATGAAATTTGAGATATGCTGAGCAACTCAAAGTTGTCTGAATGTTCGAATTTTGGATAATTTAATATCACCTCACTTATTTAACATTTAATAAAATTTTCCACCAGTTAGACTCAGGACACTGGATTAAACTGTGCGCTACGTTAGATTAATCATGACTGTTGCTCTTCCAGCCGAAAGTGCCAGAGAGAAGGCACTCAGTTACTACCGTCGCAAACTTGTTGAACACAGAGGAATAGATGCCAGACTCAAAGATGGTAAAGTTACTGCCTTGTAATAATTAGTTAATTAGCTCGGGAAAAGTCAAAAGCTGTTTCGAAGGAGTATGACAAGGCGGAGAATGACTTAAAAGCTTTACAAAGCGTTGGACAGGTACATAATTGCTCTACTATTATATTTCTCTGCAGATAGTAGGTGATGTTCTGAAACAGTTGACGGATGATCACTGTAAGTTTTACCCAAAAGTCCTTTTGTGTTGTGTTTAACTAGTTATATTATGAAACCATGTCTAGAAATTCGAATTATTAGTTTAGTTAAGGATTTTAGATTATCCGTTGTGGATATTCACTAAGTTATGCCTAAACCAGATAGTTTTTCTAAGCAGTGATCGTGATCTGAACAACTCTACGATACCATTAGATGCTTTGCAATATGTAATTCCGGTTGTCTTTGTAGGAATAAATTTTTAGCTAAATGCAAACAATAGACACTGGTCTGAATCAAATATCTAAACTCAATACCTACCGTTGCTCCAATATTCAAATGCATTTAAGTCCACTTGAACACGTATGCAGATCGACCACCAGTTGGTAACCACTATCTTTACTTAAGTCTTGGTCTTTTCGAGGGACGGTTACCGGTTGTATTCATCTGAAACACGTTACTTTATGTGTACAAGAAGATGCGGCACGGATTTCGAAGTAAAGGCTTGTGACACTGCCCACACATGCGGATCGCAGCATGTGGTTGTCTTGAAGGACCACTCATGTAGCCCCTGACTGTCATATCGACATCGAAAAATATGAGGAGCTGATGACAATAATAAGTTCATACTCCATGATCGTGTTGATTTTGGAATCCATCTATACTATGTTTGAAATCAGGATATTCCAACTGCCCTAGGTACACAATTTCCTCCAGAAGGGTTATGAATGCCGAATGTTAGCATCTGCCATTTCCCTTCTGTAAAAGCATCAGTTCCTTGAGGGCAATGACCATTAGACACAAAGTTTTTGAGGAGAAAACTGCAGTCCACTGAACCTTGACTGTTCCAGGTCATCCATAGGAGCACCTACAGTATGTGTGCTACATGGAGTGTGGCGACTTGAACTGCCGCACATATGTGCAAAGTTCTTCGTCGAAAACAGACAGACATCATCTAATTAACAATTTATGTTTATCAAGTAGTTTCCAAGCAAACACCTAAGTGTCAAATTAAAGGATATCAGGCTTGAGGGATTGCAGTTCGAATACAGAGAGGATTAGACATACCAGACGTATGACTGCCAGTAAACATAAGTTTCGTGTCAAATCAGGTTTCAGTGTGACTGAATCTAAACATTTAACACATGTACTTTGGACGAAATCCCTAGAATGTTAGGCGAAAACACTTTCATCTAAGATGTAGTGGTTCTCAGTGATTGATGTATTAGTCAATGTTAAACAAGTTACGTCAAAATGTCTGTAAACCTAATTGACTTAAGTTAACGTGTGCCACTTCTGGCACTTAGACAATATCTGTTGATGTATAACATCCGTATTCAAATTGTATATTATTTAGGATTGTTTTTCCCCACTTATAACTATCAAACAACTGGTTTACTCAATCCGTGTTTCATAGTTATTGTTAAAGCCAGCAATGGACCGCGATATGTTGTTGGTTGCCGACGCAGTTTACAGAGCAGCAAGTTGAAACCTGGTACAAGAGTGGCATTGGATATGACAACATTGACAATTATGCGTCAACTACCTCGTGAAGTGGACCCACTTGTTCATAACATGTCTGCAGAAGATCCTGGTTCTGTGTCATACGCCTCCGTTGGAGGATTGGCTGATCAAATTAGAGAACTCAGAGAAGTCATTGAGCTTCCTCTTATGAATCCAGAACTGTTTCAACGAGTTGGTATTACCCCTCCTAAAGGTTGTCTCCTATATGGTCCTCCAGGCACGGGTAAAACCCTTTTAGCACGCGCTGTAGCCTCACAACTTGATGTTAATTTTTTGAAGGTAAGCTTATCTTTTCAGCATCATGTTTGATCCCCTTTCTTTAAAACATGAAAGATTATTTTTGTAATATTGGTCTTATGTATAGCAGTCTGTCAGAAGTCAGTAACCCTCCTTGAAATGCATTTCGAAGTTAATCACTAATAGGAATAGATTATAATGAGTTTTTCAGCTGGAAATCTGTGGAATGCCAAATAGTTTCATTACGAGACCTAGTGGTCGTGGGGTTGATCCCACATGAACTAACTGGAGCACGCTTTTTGAGTATTTTGAGCTATGATCAAGCATGTGTACATAGTTCTTCAGATGATGTCAGTCTATGACGGGGAATGAAATTATTCAACTGGTAGTTAACGTCCTAACTAATATGAAGACTAGTATTTGGTGAAGTAGAGAGTCATGCAGTTTATTTTTCTAAGATAAGTTTTTCCGTGAACAAAACATTGTAACCTGTTGAAAATCCGTTTTGGGTTTTCTTATCACTATAGTTTAAGGGTATTAGCAAGTTCTTCAAGATAATCATTTTAGATTTCGTTTAAGAATCCAAATTAGTCATAGGTCTATGTTTTGTTATCTTTTTGACTTAGGGCTAACTGTAATGCATCGTGATTTTACGCAACATAGTTTATTAGACTCACTAGCTACGTTACTATAACTCATCTGTGATTTCGCTATTATTGTCATTCTTCCCGAACTTATCCTTTCTCCCGTACATTGCCGTTTATCAGTTTCCTTATAAATATTTTGTTTCTCTTCCTTCTTTGATGTATGTGTGTGTGTGTCTGAAATGTAGGCAAGTGTGAGGGCATACGATAAGTGAAACGATCTCTGAGAAAATTGGCACCATAATTAGCTCCCAGGGTAGACGGCTGGGACGTTGAAAAGAACACTGAGGAGCAATTCAGTTGGTCTACAGCCACACTCAACTCACCGAAAATCCAACACCTCCGTGAATGTTATATAGACACAGGTCCAGCATCCCTAACTGAGGTTACTAAGGCTGTCACTAGTCTGAAAAAAGGCAAAGCAGCAGGACCTGATGGAATGACTCCAGAGGTATTTAAATACGGTGGAGACAGTTTATTGTCTGCGTTAACTAAGGTACCGGGCAGCATCTGCGAATTAGAGAAAGTCCCGTCAGAAACACGCATACAAGACCCAAGTGTGGTTATTCACCTAACCCCACCTGGCCAACAGGTTGAATCTGCAAAATTCACCTTGAGGGTGTCAGGAGATGCCACAGCTAGTTCACGAGGATTAGCTGGCGTAGGGATAGCTTTGAGTACTAGGGCAGAAAAGACATTGCTTGACTGGATCCCGGTAGATAGCCGAATGTGTGCTGTCCGCCTGAACGGATCAGTAAGAAGGAGGAAGGACTGCACTACTCGCCGATGCCTTTTCGTAATCTCCGCCTACGCCCCCACTGACTGCAGTTCAGATGAAACGAAGGATGAGTTCTACCAAAAGCTGTCTAGTTTGGTGAGAAAGGCTAAACGCTCAGACATAGTCGTTCTAGCTGGTGACTTTAACGCTCAAGTAGGGAAATTGTGTCAATCTGAGAAGGATGTCGGTGGCACCTATGGAGCTCCGTGCCAGCGAACCGACAACGGTGACCGTCTCCTACAGTTCTGCTCTGATAATCATTTGTTTCTTGTAAGCACTAACTTTAAACACAAGGAGAGACACTGTTTGACTTGGAGACCCCCTTCATCAAACCAACGCTGGACACAAATAGACCACATAGCAATAAGCTATCGTTGGCGTGGGTCGGTAGGAGATTGTCGCTCCTTCTGGAACACGTGCGTAGATACCGACCATGCACTGGTCCGCGCTCGGGTGTGCTTACGACTGAACGGACGTAGGAAACAGCTGGCGGTAAAACCATCACGTCCCCAGCTCGATCAGGAAACTAAATCCGTATTTGAGGAAGAACTAGCTAAACACATATCTGTGTTCGACAGCTGTGCTCACCCTGAAGAAGCTTGGAAAAATATCCAGGCAGCCATAGATACAGCTGTAAAAGCTGTGAATAAGGTAAACCCAAAGGTGAGTAAAAACCACTGGATCTCCACCGCCTCATCCGAACTGATAGATGCTAGAAGACTTATTCCGGCGAGCTCCGAATTCAATGAGGAGCGAAAGCTGCACAAGAGGAAACTTACGAAAAGTCTCCGCAAGGACCGTGAACAGTGGTGGGCGACAAAAGCCAAAGAGATGGAGAAAGCTTCGAGGATAGGCAACACCAGGCAACTCTTTGGACTCATCAGGGAAACGGGTGGGAGAAGACAAATCATCAGTGAGACAATCTCGGAAAAAAATGGCACTATAATTAGCTCCAGGATAGACGACTGGATCGTTGGAAAGAGCATTATGAGGAGCAGTTTAATTTGCCCACAGCCACGCTCAACCTTCCGAGCATCCAACACCTCCCTGAATGGGATATAGACACAGGTCCTCCGTCACTAACTGAGGTTACTAAAGCTGTCACCAATCTGAAACTAGGCAAAGCAGCGGGACCTGATGGAATGACTCCAGAGGTATTTAAGTACGGTGGAGACAGCTTACTGTCCGGATTAACTGAGGTACTAGGCAGCGTCTGGGAATCAGAAGAAGTCCCATCGGGTTGGTGTAAGTCACTGATTATCCCCATATACAAGAAGGGAGACAAGTCTTCCTGTGATAATCACAGAGGGATTAGCTTGACTAATATAGTATCTAAAGTCTTAGGCTCAATAATCATGCGTAGACTGAGTGGTGCTCGGGAAGCACAAACACGAGAGAGCCAGGCAGGCTTTAGACCAGGAAGAGGGTGTATTGATCATATCTTCACCCTCCGACAGATTCTAGAACATAGGCATTCCTACCGGCGTCCAACAGTCATTATATTTCTTGACCTAAAGGCAGCATTCGACTCTGTCGATCGGGAAGTTCTCTGGAGATGCTTGGCTGTAAAGGGAATTCCAAGAAAATATATTGCACTGATTAAGGCACTCTACTCGTACTCATACAGCCAGGTGAGGGCTTACGGCGAGCTGTCATCTGAACTGATGACGACCAGTGGTGTCCGTCAAGGATGCCCATTATCTCCTTTTCTATTCAACTTCATCATAGATGTGTTAATGGACTTAACCCTAGGTGACTTCAGCGACTCAGGGATTGACTTGCTACCGGGGAATAATCTCGTTGACTTGGAATATGCAGACGATATAGTCCTTCTAGGCGAAGACGCTGACGAAATGCAGAGTCTTCTAAACACCTTGAGCCGCAATCTACGAATGTTTGGCATGCGATTCGCTCCCGCCAAATGCAAGATGATGTTACAGGACTGGACTACATCGACGCCTAGTTTAAAAATAGGAAGTGAAGTGGTAGAGCACGTTGACCGCTTCACTTATTTGGGAAGTACCATCAGCCCCAACGGGCTGATCTCTGACGAAATCTCAGCACGAATACAAGGGGCTCGTTTCGCATTTGTTAGTTTACGCCGACTCTGGCGTAGACGAGATGTTCGACTATCGACCAAAGGGCGGGTGTACTGCTCATCAGTCCGCTCCGTCCTCCTTTATGGTTGTGAGACCTGGCCACTGAGAGTGGAAGACATGAAAAGACTAGCTGTCTTTGATCATAGGTGCCTGCGTTCTATTTCCCGTGTAAAGTGGCATAATAAGGTGAGCAACATGGAGGTTAGGCGTAGAGTTCTAGGTAAACAGGGGAAATCAATCGACGAAGTCGTGAAGCTACAAAGACTGAGATGGTTAGGACATGTGTTACGTATGCCAAGCCATCGCCTCCCTCGACGAGCTATGTTAGCGGATATAGGGTCAGGCTGGAAAAAAGCTAGCGGCGGTCAAACAAAAACTTGGCATCAGTCAATGAAATCCACAACAGTTGGTCTAAGCCACGTAGGAAGGTGTAGACTTCCAGGCTGGGGTCCTCGGGACGGTAAAAATCTATGGTTGGAAACAATTGGTGACATGGCTCAAAATCGTTCTCAGTGGCGCAGATGCATCCACTCCCTGTGACTTATGATCTCCAATGAAACTGTTTTGTTCTTCTTTATTACTCCTTTGTCTCACACCTCTGCTCACTGTTTCTATTATGCTTTTCTTGTACTTTCTTCTCTTGCTTCGCGTGCTACACGGAATGTGGCGACTTGAACTTCCGCACATTTGTGCAAAGTTCTATGTCGAAAACAGACAGACAGACAGACTCGTCGGGCTGGTGTAAGTCACTGATTATCCCCATATACAAGAAGGGAGACAAGTCTTCCTGTGATAATCACAGAGGGATTAGCTTGACTAATATAGTATCTAAAGTCCTAGACTCAGTAATGTTGTGTAGACTGAGTGGTGCTCGGGAGGCGCAAACACGAGAGAGCCAGGCAGTCTTTAGACCGGAAAGAGGGTGTATTGATCATATCTTCACTGTTCGAAAGATTCTGGAAAATCTTCATATTTCTCGACGTAAAGACGGCATTCGATTCTGTCGAATGAGTGGTACTATGGCGATGTTTGTCCGTAAAGAGAATGTGACTCATTATATCCAATAAAACAGTATTGTTCTTCGTTATTACTATTCTTTTTGTCCCATATCTCTGTTAACTGTCTCTATTTTGCATTCCGTTTTACTGTCTTCTGCTTTGTGTGCTAAGTGAAGTGTGGCGACTCGAACTGCTGCACAGCGGGGCGAATTTCTGTGCTGAAACCAGTCAGTGTCTGAAGTGCTGCAACCAATGCACCTTGTGCATTTCAAAGTACATTTCAAGATAGTTTACTCCGCACTGAATATCGGTGTAAGTAAAAAGTGGTATTAGTAAATATTTCCATAATGATGTAAATATTTGTTGAAGAACAACAACATGAGAAGTAATTTAATGATAATGCAGTGTATTTCTTAAATCTCCGTAGGTTGTATCCAGTGGTATTGTAGATAAGTATATTGGTGAATCAGCTCGTCTTATCCGAGAAATGTTCAACTACGCACGTGATCATCAACCTTGTATTATTTTTATGGACGAGATTGATGCTATTGGTGGTCGCCGTTTTACAGAAGGTACAAGTGCTGATCGTGAAATTCAGCGTACTCTAATGGAGTTACTCAATCAAATGGACGGTTTTGATGCCCTTGGTCAGGTATATTGGTTATGTTTATATTGAAAATTAATTTACTTGCGGTTATTTTCTAAACCTATAGATTGTCAAATAGTGTGGAGACGTATATGTTTTCGAAATGAAAGTTAGTTGTTGAAATCTAGACTCTTGAAACAAGTATTTAGACAGTAATTTTCATGCACTAGAAGCCTCATAGCTGGAACTATGGGCCTTGTGAAAAATGGCAGTGTATGATTCCACGTATCTACGTGAATTGTTTAACCGTTATCTATTTTCACCGATGAGTTTTGCACTCAGGTTGCGTCTTCATAATCACATTCTGCCTTTTTATTCATCATTTTCTTTTGAAGTAAATGATTCCCAAACTAATTTTTGTAATTCTAGTAATTGAATAATTTTTTCTCCAACAAATACAACTATCGGTTATCGTTTTGCGGTAATCTGAATGACTGACTGTCTGACTAATCAACATAGGACCTTGCTCAGGGGTGTGTCAGTTCAGTTTACCATGATTCGGAAAAGCACACAAAGTATAAAAAATATGTTGCGAAACTACAAACCAATTATGTTGCCTTATACTACTGGTTGTCGCTACCTTCTTAGCATTATGCGCGTTAATTGATGCTTATATGTGCAATGTAGGAGTGTACAGTCTTAGGCAAGTCAATGGTGACAATTGAAACATCTGAGTTACTTGTAATATTAAACGTTCATACTGACAGACCTTTAGACACATAAAATCTTAAAATTCTTACCAATGGAATTATCCAATAGGAATATCTTGTCAACAAGGCAGTATTATTCTGAACTTGAAACTTGTATACCTACATATTTTGTTTGATGTCTTAAAATGCTGTCTCTCACTACCGTTCATTACCTCTTTGTCCAGTGTCTATCTATCAACAGTACCTGTTAATTGCCCCCTTTTTATTATAGGTTAAAATGATCATGGCAACTAATAGGCCCGATACACTTGATCCTGCTCTACTTCGTCCGGGACGTTTGGATCGTAAAATTGGTAGGTGATGTGTGATTATATAAAATATCCATGTCTATGCTTAGAAATTCCTCTACCGAACGAACAAGCTCGAATGGATGTGCTCAAAATACACGCTGCTCCAATAGCCAAACATGGTGAAATAGGTAAGAATAATAACTTGGCATCACATTTCTTAGTTTGCTTTCATGCTTAACAATAAGATAGTATTGAAAATTATAAGTTCCTTAAAATAGATTACTAATACACTTTAGACTACCTTGCTATCACGTTATTTGGTTTCGTATTTTTTGAATAATAAGTCACAAAACTGTCTACTTATGTCTGCTTGAACTATAAAGTTAATATTTTCTGTCTTCATACACGATACTTTCGACACAGCATTAATGCTGTAAGGAAGGACTGCAATTGTCGTAATAGTTCTAGGGTCAGGAGGGGGAGGAGGAGGTATGTATTTAAAGAAACAATTTGGCATGTTTTTGCTTTTAATATAGGCTTTTCATTATTTCCACGTATTTCTCATGTTGGAAAGTAATATTAATTAGCGTATCAGATTTGGAACTAGCAGTAGACAGTGTCCGAGTTCCTGTTTGGTGTCCGCTTTTTTTAATTATCATTAATTTTTCTTTTCACTTCACAGATTGGGAAGCAGTCGTTAAACTTTCCGATGGATTTAATGGTGCTGATCTGCGTAATGTTTGTACTGAGGCCGGTAAGTCGTTATCCATACCATGTGATAACCAGTATTTGTAGGGAATTAGGACTGCGTTTTTTTTATGGAAAATTTACTGAGATATTTGTTTTAATTACCATCACACACTACTCAGTTTACGTAGTTCTCTGTATTCAGTTAGCTTCATTTTTTTACGGTTGTGACACAGCTGTTGAAAGTGAAAGATGTAGAGAGTCTATAGCTGTCTTTCACTATATGTTTTATTTCTGTATGGAATGTTGTGTAAGGAGGGGAATATCAATCGATGCGATTGCTTATTTGAGATGGCTTGGGTATGTTTTACTTACATTGAACGACAGCCTTTGTCGTTGTGCATGTGATCAGATTAGAAAAGAGGGTGATCAAAATATGGTGACCATTAGTGAAGTCTCTCTGACTGCCTGACTGATTTTCTCGAGGTGTTAAGAATCATAGCTGAATCATAGATGCATTCACTATTTGGGACATTTTAAGTTCATGATATTCTTCCTATTCTCCATGTTACTAATTCCACTTCTGTACATTTTAATTTACTATAGTCTCTTCACATTTATTTTTTTTAAATTAGAATTCTTTTCATGAAGTATGGCGACTTAAGTTGCTGCACTTTGAGACAAACTTCTACCCTTAAAAATTGCTTCAATTCAGTTAGTTTTCTTTTTACTGACTTACACTCCTCTTTTGAAAAAAGTTACTTTGCTTTAAAATTAACTCATGAAGTATATTTTAGGTATTTTACTATTATGACTGTATCTCAACCATATTCTGAAGTCCCTTCTTAATATTTATTTAATTTGGTATACAAGAATAACCATGAATTTCAGGAAATTGGTCATTTCTTTAATGTTTTGTTTTTACCCTAGCCGTTTCGCTTAATGAGTTGTTAGCAAAACTAAGTAATTCTTAATTATGAATTGAAGCCAGTGTTTACTTTAAAAAAAAAACCTATCCAGACACACACACAGTTGGTTTAATCGTGTTGCGATCATTTTGAGCAAAAAGAAATTCAAAAATATCTTGATTTTTCTTTTATCTATTTTATTGATACAGGTATGTTCGCAATACGCGCAGAACGTGATTATACAGTTGAAGAAGACTTCATGAAGGCTGTACGCAAGATAGCTGATGCTAAGAAGTTGGAAACAAAGTTGGACTATAAACCAGTTTAACAGTGCATTCTTCTTCTTCTTCTTCTTGGTTAATGTCATTGATTTATATACACTTATCACCAAAAAAGAGAACTTCTAGACAGTTTGATTTATTTTATTCTATTTCAGCCAGCAGTAGATACATATATGGTAAAAACAAAAGATGATTTTGTAGTCATCGCATTTTGATGAGGTTATTGATTAGTGATTAAGGCCTCTGTCTCATAAAGGCATATAGATGCATCTTCAATGGTCACTGTTGATTACTGACAAAAAAATTATACGCTGTCAAAGTTGTATTCCTAAGAAGTATTGGTTACCTAAGTGTTCTTCACTGGAAAAGTTCTCTGTCACATGAAGTATCATGTCTTAATTCATTGAGTATATTTCGCCTAAATAATACTTTACTTATCCAACATAGTGGCTAAATGATTGTATAGGTATTTGGTCACAGACAATCTTTAAAAAGATGAACCGCTGCTAAATATCCTCTTGCATTTTGAGAGAAAAATGATCCGTTGTGACTGTGTTTGTCGATAAGCCTCTGTTTTTTGAAGAAAGAGTATAATTCATGAAAAGGAGATCAGTTAGTCATGGAGCTGATGTCAGGTTGAATATTTCACCAAGGCTTTTCTAAGAAAATGTCAGCCTCGTACATTATCTAAATTCGTTGGTTAAAGTCAATCTGAAACAGTGACTGGGTGCAACCAAATTGATAAACCCGTACAGCTTTATCCAACTCGCTCATACCCCTGTTCTTCGCCAGTAACTATATCACGAAAACTGTTCGTGTCATGTATCGAATTTAACTTTACATGCATCACTGGGGATGAATATGCGTATCCTTGAACAGGAGTCTGATTGGATTTCACTTTGCAGTAAAAAAAAACTCAAATGGGCTGGTTCGCCCACTAATTAGCGGGCTTCTAGTTTTGAAGAAAATTGTAGCCACCCGTTGTTTAGATAAGCCCATTATTGCCGTATTTAAAGTTGACTAGACTAAGGTTGTTTAAAATGAGCTTCGGTCAAACATCAACATCATGTGTTAATGGACTTAACCCTAAGTGACTTCAGCGACTCAGGGATTGACTTGCTACCGGGGAATAATCTCGTTGACTTGGAATATGCAGACGATATAGTCCTTCTAGGCGAAGACGCTGACGAAATGCAGAGTCTTCTAAACACCTTGAGCCGCAATCTACGAATGTTTGGCATGCGATTCGCTCCCGCCAAATGCAAGATGATGTTACAGGACTGGACTACATCGACGCCTAGTTTAAAAATAGGAAGTGAAGTGGTAGAGCACGTTGACCGCTTCACTTATTTGGGAAGTACCATCAGCCAGTGCCAACGGGTTGATCTCTGACGAAATCTCAGCACGAATACAAGGGGTTCGTTTCGCATTTGCCAGTTTACGCCGACTCTGGCGTAGACGAGATATTCGACTATCGACCAAAGGGCGGGTGTACTGCTCATCAGTCCGCTCCGTCCTCCTATATGACTGTGAGACCTGGCCACTGAGAGTGGAAGACATGAAAAGATTAGCTGTCTTTGATCATAGGTGCCTGCGTTCTCTCTCCCGTGTGAAGTATAATAAGGTGAGCAACATGGAGGTTAGGCGTAGAGTTCTAGGTAAACAGGGGAAATCAATCGACGAAGTCGTGAAGCTACATCGACTGAGATGGTTAGGACATGTGTTACGTATGCCAAGCCATCGCCTCCCTCGACGAGCTATGTTAGCGGATATAGGGTCAGGCTGGAAAAAAGCTAGCGGCGGTCAAACAAAAACTTGGCACCAGTCAATGAAATCCACAACAGTTAGTCTAAGCCATGTAGGAAGGTGTAGATTTCCTGGTTGGGGTCCTCGGGACGGTAAAAATGTATGGTTGGAAACAATTGGTGACATGGCTCAAAATCGTTCTGAATGCACAGCGCAGATGCATCCACTCCTTGTGACTTATGATCTCCAAGGAAACTGTTTTGTTCTTCGTTACTACTATTCCTTTGTCTCACACCTCTGCTCACTGTTTCTATTATGCTTTTCTTGTACTTTCTTCTCTTACTTTGTGTGCTACATGGAGTGTGGCGACTTGAACTGCTGCACATATGTGCAAAGTTCTATGTCGAAGACAGAGATGGTGTATAAATTCAGAGCATCCTGAAAATCACCCTTGGATGAAACAGTTAAAACATCATTTCAACATGGATTTTGTCACGAAGCGAAGTCAGTGTATTGTTAGTTAATTGCATTCGGCTTCATTCAGTGGTTGTTCACCTGCTTCCCACCAAAATTGATTGTTCCTCATTTTAATTCATGCCTATGGTCTCAACTGACGTCGCAATTAATTTGGATATCTCGGTCATTTAAGTCTACCACTTATCATATGTGACAACGTTCTTAAAATTCATTTTTGTTTGGCGAACACAAGCAGTTAACAGTATTCAAAAATTCAGTCTGATTGTTTCTAGGGTTGGTTCTGTGAAAATCGAACACTTGATTTCCAAAATACTAACCGTGCAAATACTGGTCTTGAGTTTTTTGAAAAATCTTTGAATTCTAACCTCCTTCAGACGTCTGAGTTTAGGTGATTTATGGATGCCTGTTCGAAACAAAGTAAAAATTAGCCATTGATATATTCTCCTGCGAACAAGCTTAAATTTTTAAGTTTTATATCTTCATCATTTATTCCAAACAAGTGTAATTAGACCGAACAATTGTTTCACATAGATTCTTGTGCATTGATATTATTATTTGAAAAACTCTTCACGAAACCTGTTATCTAGGCACACTGACAAAACCCTTTTAGACAAACATAAGGACTAACAATTGTCTTGTGATCAGTGCCCAGTTGAATTGTTCTTACATACTACAGAGTAGTGTGGGTATCTCTTTGTCACAATTTAATACAGCATAGGACTTATTACAGTGATTTAGTCAATGATGCACAAACTCCAGTTTACTGATTGTCCTACGGGGTAGATGATAAATGTGACTAGGCAAAACATCCTACATAACATTTCAAATCAATTGTCACCAACAGCCATTAATTATTTGATTGCGAGTGAGTGAGGGGAAATGATGATGATGATTAATGTGGTGCTAAAATCCAGGTATGAAAAAAAAATACTTCTAATTTTGAATGAATTCTTATACTCTCATCGCGCTTTGTCATGCACCACTATCGGCTAAGGGATCAACAGGAGACAAAGAGGGTTGAATACGCAATCTGAACAAACAATATTATATTGGAAGAAAATGATATATTTTACAAACAAATGAAATCATTGTATGCCGTCAGAAGGAATAGGCAGACTAAGAGGTATTTAATTTTTAGAAGCTTTTCTTTTCAATTGTGTACGTTAAGTTGCTAGAAGTGTTGGCATATTAAAGCATTAACTACATTAATTAGTGAGATGTATATCCAAGTTGCATGAAAATTTTGATTTGTAAATGCGGAAACAGATTCTTATTCTTTTGCTGTTTACTTTATTTAGAATGCGTGCTTATAACCAAATATCTTGCCCTCAACCAGCCTATGTTATGGTGATTACAACCTCCTAGCAAAAGAATTTGTAACTTACCATACGATTGCAAAAACTTACTCTGTGTATTAAGGTATTCATAGTCAAACATCCACAAAATACTGGCTAACAAGAATGGACGTTCGGTAGATTCCTGGTAGTTAAACGCGACTGGCTGATAATAGTGGAAGTGAAACGCGTGTGACAACAGAAATAAACAGTAAGAGGATGTGTTCCACAAAGTAACGCAAGAACTTATCATGCAACAATGCAGTTCGAGTAGTGGACATCTACAGAAACAGCAATGTTTGATGCGGTGTACACCTGTCTAACAGAAAGTCACTTGACAGACAACACGATATATGATTGACAGACCGCCGAGTCAGTCAACTGTGGCACTAAAAACAAAGGCGTAGATTTATAGGCGATCAAATAAATTCATGGAACCATTGAAGCCTGGGATAAATCCTCTTCCCAGGTCAGTTTGTTTGATTGCAATGTTGAAGTTCGTCGGAAAGTAATTTAATTCATAGAAATTCTCATTGTAACATATAGAAAATCAAAACAAGTGATTCAGCGAAGAGACTCTTTTCAACGAATTTATTATCAAGCTGTACAGTCATATATATATAATTTTTGCCATTTGTCTTGCTGCAATACAGATCTCCTGGATTTTCTCTGTATTCTGCATTAATTCTCCGAATTTCTGCTTCCTTCTATGTTCACTTATTTGGTTTCTTAAAATCCCATCCTTCCCCTCTCAGTTTTGCTCTTCACTATTCGCTTACGCCATCGTTGATATTGACTAATATGAAGAACTTTAACTTCGGCATTGCTTTTGTTTCCCAAGTTTATACAGAACTTTCTAACGAAGTAAACTACCTGAAGTGAAAACTCAACTAAAATTCTTGTAAAATATGCTGATTTGTTCCTAGTATGTGTGTGATTACTCGTTTAAGGTTGGATGTTTCTTTTACTAGCCGTTCTGTGTGTGGTTCGAGTCCAAAAGACTTCCCTCTTTTCAACAGGTGACAGACGTTAGAACTGCCTTCAACTTCGGTCAAAGAATAGATAACAACAGAGTTGTATTTAACTCGCATAAGTGTGACATCACTTACATGGGTTATAATCTACATTACAAATACAAGTTAAGTAATATGAAGTTTAGAGTATCACTATCACAGCAGAATATAGACATCATCAATTGGTTAGGTCTTAACAGGCCAAGGGAGGAATAATGGCTGTACTAACTTCTTTTGAATGCATAGTTTGGGTTTGTCTGTCTGTCTGTTTTCGACATAGAACTTTGCACAAATGTGCGGAAGTTCAAGTCGCCACATTCCGTGTAGCACGCGAAGCAAGAGAAGAAAGTACAAGAAAAGCATAATAGAAACAGTGAGCAGAGGTGTGAGACAAAGGAATAGTAGTAACGAAGAACAAAACAGTTTCCTTGGAGATCATAAGTCACAAGGAGTGGATGCATCTGCGCTGTGCATTCA